AATATGTCTCTCTAGCTTTGTACAAGTGTATATAGTTGGGACGAAGGGCAACATAGTCACGTCAAGTCATTTCCCTATTTCAAGTTGGATAATAAATTTGGATATGAATTCAGAAGTATCTTGTTTCTTTGCATTGTTTTGCAAGCATAATGGTACTGTGTTTGCATATAACAGAAAAAGACGCAATGTTATTAACTCACCATGTCCACCAATGAAATGTACACAAACATTCCTCCAGCAAGGGGATAGATCCATTCGACGGCCGATGTTTTAGTACCCAGTACCAAACCAATGACCAGCCCCAAAAAACAGGAACATGCCGAGAGAAAGTTGAATGCCATTGCCATTTTGTACGACATGCCAGCATTGAGAAGAATCGCAAAATCACCTGGGAAACAATTGAAAATAATTAAAAGGAGCTTCAAATAGTAACAAGAAGTTCCAGACAAAGCTGCTGTCGATGCAACTCTTCTAGAAAAATGTTATACCGAGTGTGTGGCTTCTTTGACAAATAATCTCAGTGTTCCCATAGTTATCAGCATTCATTTCGAACGTAGCACTAGCTCTTGGATTGATTGAGCCTACGTAAATATTTATTCAAGGCGTGAAAATGAATTGTCTTCGCGGCTGTTTAGTTTGAGCCAATTGATACATTTCAGTAATGGGACTCTCGAAGCATTTCTTACTGCAAGGTGGAATGGCGCTGTTAAATACACCAAATGCTTAGCGTATATCAAGTAATGATCTTTACCAAGTTCGTGTGGTAGTTCTTCACAGAATATCGCCAATGAGGTGCTGACACCATTAATTGTTGAACTGGAATATGATGCTCCAATGGCCAAGCCGTCAATAAAGTTATGAAGGGCGTCACCGATGATTATCATCCAAGCAACAGGGGCCACTTTTTTCTTTCCACCAGTGTTCACAATAACCTACATTTAAACAATACAGGGAAGATTAAGCTGCTTCTTCTGTCTTTCTTGTCTTCTCGCATTGAATTCCACGAGGTCGCGCCGATTTAAGGTTGATACTTTTTCCAACGTCATTCAATCAGGAATTTAATTATTTTAAGTCCTTCTCCCCCTCTGGGAAATAGTGAGAAAACATAACAAAAACTATGAAATCAGCAAGTATTCAACAATACTACCTGAGCCACAATAATGGTATTAGTTTGAGGTTATAGGCAAATTTAGTCGATACCATGTTTGCAAAGCCAGAACTAATAGGATTGAACTGTTATCGGAGCTCCCGTTGGGTGATCGCGCCATTTAGAGTGTTACCCCTCATTCTTCACTGGCCAATTGTCAGGGACTTAGTCTAATTCATTTTGGTTTAAGCAAGCATTCAAATGTTCTAAGTGGTTTTATTGTATGGTTGAACTGGTTCGCGATGAGAACGGAGAATTTTGATTGGTTCTCATTGCAGTCCAAATTTTGCATTACGGACCACTTAGATGGACTCCTCACAAATTAATTTCAGCGAAATGTATTTTTAATTCATTGCACGAAATAACTATTTTTTTGTTGTTGTCGAGTAGTAATCTTTTTACCCTCTTATTTGGAGGAATATTTCAATTAAATGTTCATAAAAGCGACGCGAGAAACGTAAATAACTGCTTTTTCGCGCGCGCATCTACCCAGAATAGGTCGCAAAGACGCATCAATTTATCACCAAATTCAAAAGAGCCATTATAATAAACACTTTATTGAACTAGCTTGTTCGGTCCGTATTGGGGAATCTTGGCCTTGTTTTTCTTTTTTTGTTTTGGTCTCGTTTTTTCGTTTATGGACCTCTCCCTACAAAAAACAGAACTTGACGAATATGATATTTCTCCAATATGGACCTCATGCGAGTTCAATAACGTATATCAGTTCAATAGTGTACTTGTAACTCGCTTTGTACCTCTTGCTGTTCATTGAGCCCCTTTTTCTCCGCTGACCCATTCTGGAAATCGGCCAAGTCAGTACTCACTCCCATATTACGATTCGAGAAATGATGATCCTGGTTATAAAGTTGGAGCTGAACTTCGGCGATGGCTGTACCAGGGACTTCAGCCTTGGGATTTCTTGCCTCCTTAGGGAAAGACAGCACACATCTTATTCTTATAGGGTTGTCATTTCGTTAAAGTTCTAATTACTAAAAATGTATATAGAACAGACAAGCAAACAAGCAAACTTGAAGCTAGTCACTCATCTAGCCGAGAGAAACCTCTCGGCGACAGGTTCAAACTCACAAATCAATCACTTTATATGTACAGATTACATGCAAAAAGTCACTGGCTTTGAAAGCTGCCAAATGATGTTTGGGAAAGAGAAGGGATATGTTACAAACTAGGGCGTAGTTATCGCCACAATTCACATTTTCAGTGTACGTTTAAAACTACTAAGGTGGCCTCCTCTATCAGCGTGATGGATTTTTGGAGGTATCCTCGTCCTATCACAGTTTTTGTTATTGTACACTGTTATTTTATTGTGTCGCAGTTAAATAAAATGGTGATGATTGTAGTGAAGGTGATAATGATGATGATGATGATGATAAAAATAGCAGTCGAGAGATCCTGCGTTTTCCAAATAACATGTCAAGCTCANTTGAATGCCATTGCCATTTTGTACGACATGCCAGCATTGAGAAGAATCGCAAAATCACCTGGGAAACAATCGAAAATAATTACGAGGAGCTTCAAATAATAACAAGAAGTTCCAAACAAAGCTGCCGTCGATGAAACTCTTCTAGAAAACTGTCATACCGAGTGTGTGGCTTCTTTGACAAATAATCTTAGTGTTCCCATAGTTATTAGCATTCATTTCGAATGTAGCACTAGCTCTTGCATTGATTCAACCTACGTAAATATTTATTCAAGACATGAAAATGAATTTTTTTCGCGGCTGTTTAGTTTGAGCCAATTGATACATTTTAGTAATGGGACTCTCGAAGCATTTCTTGCTGCAAGGTGGAATGGCGCTGTTAAATACACCAAATGCTTAGCGTATATCAAGTAATGATATTTTACCAAGTTCGTGTGGTAACTCTTCACAGAATATCGCCAATGAGGTGCTGACACCATTAATTGTTGAACTGGAATATGATGCTCCAATGGCCAAGCCGTCAATAAAGTTATGAAGGGCGTCACCGATGATTATCATCCAAGCAACAGGCGCCACTTTTTTCTTTCCACCAGTGTTCACAATAACCTACATTTAAACAATGCAGAGAAGATTAAATTTGCTTCTTCCGTCTTTCTTTTGCAAAAAGAAACCCCAGCCTGGTGGGGAAATCCACTTGAAGATGGCGTAATCATGCAGCCACCCAAGTTAGCCATGTGGAAATGTCCTCAGATGTTTTCTTGGAAACTTTTGACAAAATTATCTTCTTCTTTGCATTCTTGGAGACTGTAAACATTCATTATTTGGCTCTAACAAGATCAACTATGACATGCAATCTCTAGGTACGAGGAAAAAACTTCCTTTTCAATGACGAAGACTCTAATTCAGTCTTCTCGCATTGAGGTCCATGAGGTCGCGCCGATTTAAAGTTGATACTTTTTCCAACGTCATTCAATCAGGAATTTAATTATTAAGTCCTTCTCCCCCTCTGGGGAATAGTGCGAAAACATAATAAAAACTATGAAATCAGCTGGTATTCAACAATACTTACCTGAGCCACAATAATGGCATTAGAGTGAGGTTATAGACAAATTTAGTCGATATTATAACCATGTTTGCAAAGCCAGAACTAATAGGATTGAACTCTCATCGGAGCACCCGTTGGGTGATCGCGCCATTTAGAGTGTTACCCCTCGATTCTCCACAGGCCAATTGTCAGGGACTTCGTCTAATTCATTTTGGTTTAAGCGAGCATTCAAATGTTGTAAGTGGTTTTATTGTATGGCTGAACTGGTGGCGATGAAAAGGAGAATTTTAATTGGTTCTCACTGCGGTCCAAATTTTGCATTACGGACCACTTAGATGGACTCCTCACAAATTAATTTCGGCGAAATGTTTTTTCAATTCATTGCACGAAATAAACATTTTTTTTGTTGTAGTTGGGTAGTAATCTTTTTACCCTCTTATTTGGAGGAATATTTCAAATAAATGTTCATAAAAGCGACGCGAGAAACGTAAATAGATGCTCTTTTTCCCGCGCGCATCTACCCAGAATAGGTTGCAGAGACACATCAATTTATCACCAAATTCCAAAGAGCCATTATGATAAACACTTTATTGAGCTAGCTTGTTCGGTCCGTATTGGGGAATCTTGGCCTTGTTTTCCTTTTCTTGTTTTGGTATCGTTTTTTCGTTTATGGACCTCTCCCTACAAAAAACAGAACTTGACCAATATAATATTTCTCCAATATGGACCTCACGCTAGTTCAATAACGTATATCAGTTCAATAGTGTACTTGTAACTCGCTTTGTACCTCTTGCTGTTCATTGTGCCCCCTTTTCTCCACTGACCCATTCTGGAAATCGGCGAAGTCAGTACTCACTCCCATATTACGATTCGAGAAATGATGATCCTGGTTATGAAGTTGGAGCTGAACTTCGGCGATGGCTGTACCAGGGACTTCAGCCTTGAGAGCTTTTGCCTCCTTAGGGAAAGACAGCACACATCTCATTCTTAAAGGATTGTCATTTCGTTAAAGTTCCAATTACTAAAAATGTATATAGAACAGACAAGTAAACAAGCAACCTTGAAGATAGTCACTCATCTACAGTAGCCGAGAGAAACCTCTCGGCGACAGCTTCAAACTCACAAATCAATCACTTTACATGCACAGATTACATGCAAAAAGTCACTGGCTTTGAAAGCTGCCAAATAATGTTTGGGAAAGAGAAGCGATATGTTACAAACTAGGGCGTAGTTATCGCCACAATTCACATTTTCAGTGTACGTTTAAAACTACTAAGGTGGCCTCCTCTATCAGCGTGATGGATTTTTGGAGGTATCCTCGTCCTATCACAGTTTTTGTTATTGTACACTGTTATTTTATTGTGTCGCAGTTAAATAAAATGGTGATGATTGTAGTGAAGGTGATAATGATGATGATGATGATGATAAAAATAGCAGTCGAGAGATCCTGCGTTTTCCAAATAACATGTCAAGCTCAATGTCATTATTTCACATTGCAATCCCTTCAATAATTGTCTTCGTGTTCCCGTTCCTAAAAGAGTGTCACAGCTCTATATTCATTGCAGTAAAGTTAATACATAAATTTACTTACCAATCCTTCCTTTTTTTCCGATGCAGACTTCTCTTTGAATCTGACGATCATTTTCATGACATATTCGAGGAGAAAAAACAAATAGATCCCACCGACAATCACCAAACTTTTCCACAAATTTTCAAGGCCATGTAAATGAAACGTCTGTTAAATAAAAAGCAAAGCTGTCAACTAAACCAAAACAGCACAGCGAAATTATCGCAGCTCTAACATAAGTATTAGTTATGCATGTATAAATGATAAAGCCAACAATGTATGTATATGAAAAAAATGTTACTGTCATAAATTAGTTCATTTCATTACTGCTGACAGGTATTTGTTAATACTCACGTGCGGAATAAGATGAAAGAATCCATTCCCACTCAGTACACCAACAGCAAGCGACACCATAAACAACAGCAGAATTTTGTAAATTGATTGGTTCATGAATGGGACAACAAAAGCTCCAAGTAGAGATGCTAAGCTGATGATTGCCGCAGACAAGAACCCGAATCCCCATGCTGAAAAAGATGCATGTACAATGAGCCGTTAACAAGGAAGTGGTCCAAATGAATTGGTAAATAAATTTAGCAATTCGTCAATTCGTCAAAGATCATTCCAAAATCGTGAGAGGAAGCTTAAGGCTGACACGTACGGTAATTATTTGTTTGTTTGAAAAACAGTTAAAGAAAATCTTAATAGCACTGAAATATTTATTAGTGACCTTGCCAGCGTCAAGTTTGAAAGAAATTGAAATGGCTAAAATACAGACTTTGAAATACCAACATATGGCCCAGATGACCCAGTTTGTATGGATCTTGCAGGCAAGCCAAAAAATTACAAGTTTGCAGATTTCTGGTCTATCTTCTTTCATTTGATCACTTATCAGTATAGTCGGGAGTAAAGTCTAAAAACTTGGTTAATTTGCGCTTACATGATGACCCATGATATTGTTAGCTTTGGGTATATTAAAAAACGTTTAATTCAAATTCGTTCAGCACTGTGAACAAATTTAATTGGGCTATATACAACTGAACCTACGAAGACAAATTACACAACTGACAAATTCACGCCTTACCCCGGGCAGTATTTTCCGTTTTATCTTCTTCGTGTTCCTCACTCTCATCCAAACAAGCTTTACTTTCAATTTGCTGCACTATCGCTGGGCAGACTTTTTCAAATTTATCCAGATTCAATCCACTGGAGTCAACAGAAAAGGATTCAAACAGTTCCTTTGCTGTATAACACTGCGTCAATTAAAAAAAAAAGACAACAGCAAACAAAAAAACAAAGAGTACAGATGTTCAAGACATTATTTTTATTTGAAAAAAAATTGAATTGAGATTTGATATTTTCACCGGTTTTTTTAAAGAGGTTTTCACTTGAGTGTTGAAATATTCGCGTTGCATTGGTTTAAAACTTGCGCCACTCAGAAGCAAGTGACTTGCTCCCGCGCGTTAATTTCCCTCACTTCGAGTCAGCTAACGCCAGCAGTCAAACTTAATTAAGAAGCGCATCAGTCGAAGCATCTCCCATACTCGGCAACTGATCTTCTTCTTTCTTAATGTTTTAAATTCAAGGAAATTTTTCATAAACGAAATAAACATGAAAGCTATTCCAGAATCTCAAAAATGACAGCGAATCCCTTTTCATAACGTCAGTACACTGAGTATGAACGGTTTTGTACTTTTTGGAAAACCTAACTCGAAGAAATTATTTTGGTGATCAATACTACAGCAAAACTGACCCGTCATTACAATTATCATTCGATGTATTTTTTCGTCCTTTTCATTGGCTGAGAGCCCACCTTGTGACCTGCAAATAACTGCCTATAAACAATGGTCTTCTTATGCACAATGACGTCAAACTTGCTGATCGAACGATAAAACAATTATTGAACTCTG